AGGAGATTGGGGGATGGGGGAAAACTGGGATTGGAGGCTGGGAGGGGATGTGGGGAGATGGAAATGGACTAAGAATTGGGATGAAGCGGGAGACTGGGATTGGCTGGGTAAGAAGACAAGGATTTGGAGCTCAGGGGACTGGGAAGCATGTAGGTACAGGGGTAGGAAGATTGAGGGATGATCTTACTGGAATACTGTGCTCACAATTCAAGGAGGCTGTTGATAAATTGGAGAGATTTCAAAGAGCCACAAGAATGATTAAAGAATTAGAAAACATGTCTTATAGTGACAGACTCAAAGAGCTCAATCTATTTAGCTTAACAAAGGGAAGGCTACAGGGTGACTTGATTACAATCTATAAGGATCTACATGAAGAACAAATATTTAATAAATGGCCTCTTCAATCTAGCAGAGAAAGGTATAACATGATCCAATGGCTGAACAAATTCAGACTGGAAATAAGGCTTAATTTTTTAATGGTGTGAGAGAGTAATTAACCATTGGAACAATTTTCCAAGGGTTGTGGTGGATTCTCCATCACTGACAATTTTTAAATAAATATTTAAATCAAGATTGGATGTTTTTCTGAAAGATCTAGGAATTATTTTGGAGGCATTCTGTGGTTTGTCTTGGCTAAGGCTGCTGGCTAATACAGTTGAATGGTGCGCCAGAAAATTGGATTCTGTCCCTGCTTGGTACAGTGGCTCTTAGAAGAGCATGAGGTCTTTGATGAGCTCTCAGTACCAGAACATACTGGTCCCTCAAAGTCACTCTCTTTGGGACCGGAGGTCGCCAACACAATCGTTCTCTAAGATGACTGGGATCTATTTAACGAGGTATTCTCTGATGGGAGACGCCGAACTCCTTCTCCTTGGGGCCCTGTTGGTACTTCGGTGCCTTTGTCCCGTGAAGATCTCAGTGAGCGGGATACAGGGATCAATGAGGCACTAAATGCACTTGAAGGCTGGTGTATAGGGGTGTCCGTTGATCCCAGCTCCGAAACTGGTCTTAGTGCTTGCTCCATCATAAGGAGCCCGGATGTTATCTATTTTTTCTATATCTGCTCTTGAAAGAAGTGCTGATCTTGCACTTGGTTGGCGTGTGGGTGTCTCCCAACCAGTGGAATGCCTGTTGCTAACTGGGCTAGACTCCTGGCCGGAAAAGCAGCTCTTAAAGCTTGGGGATCCCAGCATAACCAGCGACAACTACCTCCAAGGAAAAGCCCCTCAAGGCGGAGAAAAGATGGGGTAGTCAACAGACAAACCACCAAATAAAAAATGGTGCATTGAACTAGTAAATTAAACAACTGAATAATTAGAAAGCTAAACTATACTAAGACTGAAATACAAAGCTAAGCTACAGCTAGGCTGAAAGCAGGCATGCTTGATGTTCCAGCTCAGGCTGTAGGGTCGTTGAGAAGGGACTGAGGGTGGTTTGCCAGGGCAGCTTTATTTATCTTTGGTACAGGGCACAAGGATATCTGGGGCATATGTATAGGCTGAATGGGCACTGCTTCTGAAAATCTCCAATGAAAGGCGCATGGGACTCATCCACACCTGAAGTGGATCTCCCATAGGGACACTGCTCAAAGAATTAATAATTCTATCTTCAGAGAAGGGTTTGAAGGGTATGCAATAAATAAGACTTAGGGCCATACTTTGAATGAAGAAGAAACAAAATACCAAATAGCTTCACAGTAAGTGAGCACCATCCACCCTCTGCATTGAATGAGGCAGGGATTCTGTGGAAATAATAGTATTGTAATTAAAGATTGCATCATAATGCATATAAAGTTGCTCACACAACCTTAATTCTGGCATTTCCTATGTTTTGAGTGCTTGACTTTGCAGCCCTTAATAATGCTCTTTTAACTTCTTCTGTGCGTGTAATAATATACAGAATATGCTGTATGTTATGGCATCAGTTGCAAGTCTTTTTCTTTCACACATATACTATTACATATATTGTTATAATTTTGGAAGTAAGAAGATTTCTCATAACACAAGAACTAGGGGTCACCAAATGAAATTAATAGGCAGCAGGTTTAAAACAAACAAAAGGAAGTATTTCATCACACAACACACAGTCAACCTGTGAAACTCTTTGCCAGATGATGTTGTGAAGGCCAAGACTATAACAGGGTTGAAAAAAGAACTAGATAAATTCATGGAGGATATTTCCATCACTGGCTATTAGCTAGGATGGGCAAGGGTGGCGTCCCTAGCTTCTGTTTGCCAGAAGCTGGGAATGGGAGACAAGAAATGGATCACTTGATTACCTGTTCTGTTCATTTCCTCTGGGGCACTTGGCATTGGCCATTGTTGGAAGACAAGATACTGGGCTAGATGGACCTTTGGTCTGACACAGTATGGCCATTCTTATGTTCTTATTTGCATGAATGGATGGATGCAAACTTGGATATTAGGAGGAGTTGAATATTATTCCATATGTCTTAATTTGGCAGAACCCAGTTTGTTAAAAATGTAAAAGCCCTAAAGCTCTGCACAGGCACAGGGTTCTACTCATGCAGATCCAGTTACAGGAATATGGCTTTAGACTGTAAACTTTTTCGGGCAGGACTGTCTTTTATTATGTTTGAGACAAGGTAAGAAAGTTAACATCTTTTACTGTCCAACTTCTGTTGGTGGAAGGTAAAAGCTTTTGAGCTTCACAGAACTCTTCTTCAGGTCTGGGAAAGGTAACCAAAGTGTCTGAGCTAAACAGAAGTTGGGACAGATTGTTAAACATGGGGGGTTCACACAAGCTATAGGAGACTGCTTAAAATGAAGTGGGCAGTTAAGGGTTAGCAGGTAATGTGGTGTGTTACAAATTGTTGTAGCGAGCCTTAAAACCAGTGTCTCTTGAGTCCATGATTTTTAGTTTCTATCAGCATTACGAATTTAAATTCCCAGGCTCACTTTTTGAAAGTGTTGTGCAGGTTTCCTTTGAGGATGAGGACTGAGAGGTCAGATATGAAGTTATTTGTTTGTGAAGAGTATTTGCCCATGGGTGTCATGGTGTTTTTGTCTTTTAGCATTTATCTGTATCATTTGAGAATGTAATAATTGTCTGGTTTCACCCACATAGTTGATGTGGGACATATGATGCACTGGCTAAGGTACACCACATGTTGTGATAGGCATGTCTAGAACCCATGAATCTTGAAAGGTGTATTGTGGAAGGTAGTTATGATCATAGCAGTGGAGATATGTCTGCAGGTTTTGCATCTGTTGTTCTGGCAGGGTCTGGTGCTGCTTTGAGTTGGTGTGACCTGGTCTGTGAATTCTGATGATGAGCTTGGTGGATTGCTTGAAAGCCAGAAGGGGGCATTCAAGAAATATTTCTTTCACATGTGAGTCCCCATCAAATATGGTTTGTAATTGTTTGATGATACCTCAGGTTCCAGGATAGGCTGGTAGGTGACAACTAAGGGTGTGTTGTCAGTGAGATTCCCTTCACTACCCCCCATATTGAAGCAGGTTCTCATGGGGTGTTTGCAGCATGGAATGGTCCACCCAATCTACATCTCTGGCAGTGTGTCCTTGTTTAGTGAAGGCCTTTTTAAGTGTGTTAAGATGTATACCTCAAACTGCTCTTTGGAACAAATTCTGTGTTATCTGAGTGCCTCGGTGTGTCTGGGGTGATTGCTGGATCTGTGGAGGTAAGTGTGGTGATCCATGGGTTTGTTATATGTAGTCATTAGTAGGGTTCCATTGTTAAAGCTGATCGTATGCCCAGGGTGTTGATGCTGGTGTTGAAGTGTTCTAGAGAAAGTTTGATGGATGGGTGGTGATTATAGAAGTTGTGTTAGAAGTCTTAGGGAGTTTAATTTGTCCATCCAGAGGATGAACAAATATCGATTCATCATAGTTGGTTTTGTGGTGCCTTCTCCCAGAAATTCTTCCTCAAGTTGAACCATGAAAAGCTTAGCATATGGGGGAGCTATCCTAGTACCCATGACTGTTCCCATGCTATGGACAAAGTGCACAGTTAAATGCGAAATTGTTGTGCTTAAGGATGAAATGGATATTTGGTGATTAATTTAGGGTGGGTTTCTAAGTGTTGTACAGTATCTTGTAGGTATTTGAGGCATGCAGCGATGCTGTCATGGTGAGGGATGGTGGTGTATAGGGAGGTGACGTCCACGCTGGTGTTCTGGGGCAGGTTGTTAATGTTGTGGAGTTTCTGGCAGAAGTCAGAACTGTCTTGGAGGAAGCTGGCCATTTGTGTAGTGAGTGGTTTGAGGATATACAGCACCTACCACTATAGGATTCCAGCCATGGATGGTTTCTAGGTGCTACTGTAATAAATAAATGTATTTTCCTTGCATGATTAATTCTTCAGTGCTGTTTAATCAACTGATTACATGGCATTACTTGTTCCCTCCAGCCCAACTACTAAATGAAATTTTATAAATCAGATATTTTAAACGTTATACCAGATGAATATAGTTGAACACAACACCATGAGTATTTTTTGATAATCTCTGTCTAGGTTCTTAGATCATGCCCATCATACTGGTGTTTGAGAGTCTGTTCATAAGTCAAATGCTGCATAATTCTTAGGGTACGTCTACACTTACCTCCGGGTCCGGAGGTAGGCAATTGATGTTCTGGGATCGATTTATCGCGTCTGGTCTAGACGCGATAATCGATCCCGGAAGTGCTCGCCGTCGACGCCGGTACTCCAGCTCGGCAAGAGGAGTATGCGGCATCGACGGGGGAGCCTCCCTGCCGCGTCTGGACCCGCGGTAAGTTCGGACTAAGGTACTTCGAATTCAGCTACGTTATTAACGTAGCTGAATTTGCGAGAACTTTAGTCCGAAGTGGGGGGTTAGTGTGGACCAGGCCTTAGATTACTGTGAACACTTCTGGAAAAAAAAAAAAATACAAGCAATGTCAAGTAGCTAAGGAATTGAATCCCCTGTGTGCTGTACATTGCTTTTGAGTTAATAGTAATTCCTTCACCTCTTCATCCCCCAAGAAAAAACACAAAATTGCTAAGGATTATCTATTTATTTATTTTTAATTCAGTTAAAACAAACATACAATGTTTCATTGAAACTGTGTAACACTCTTTGCCAACAACTGTAGCTGAATTGTTGACGTCTAACAATACAGTGGGTATATATACACAATATATACAAAGATGTACTGTAGAACACCTGTAACAGATACATTAGACTGTAAAAGAAGTTGTTAGTCACTGCATTTGGGAAATTATAACATCCATGATAAACTGTATGAAAAAATCTGTACCTGATCTATACTTCTTTATGGACCCCAAAGACTCCTCTTTATTGCAACATTTACATTTGTAATAAATAAAACCTTTCATGTTTGTGTGTTCTTACATCTCGAGTGGTAACATACTCTTTCAATTTTTGTAAGAATAGCATTTTTCTGTAAAGAAACTTTCCTTTGACAGTTGTTACACATATGCACAACATGAACAACTGGTTGAAATGATGCAATAACCATTAATAATGACAGAGGAATATATACATAAACCCAAAGTCCCAAACCTATATTATATACAATATATTTACATTATATACACACATACAGTTTATGTACATAACTATCATAAATATTGAAAAATAGGTTTTAGTTTTAATTGATTAATGTTCTATAAATAACATTACAGTTATGACTGAAATATCATGGAAGACAGCAATGTAAAAACAAGGTGACAATACAGTGGTTTAATACTGAAGCTGCTTATTTCCATTAGTATGTTGTTTAGGGACCTCTAAACTGACAGGTTTGCAACAGATTCATATATTAGAAAACTACCTAGCAGAGTGGTACTCAAGTTTAACAGCTGAAGAGCTACTTAGTCATCAAATGGAGCTTCAGAGAACAACTGACTCACAATGTAACGTCCAGACATTGCTGCATTAATTTGCAAGACTCAACAACATGTATTGATACAACATAATGAGGTGCTATCATGTAACATCTTCCTCTCTTATCTCCCCTGACAATGACTGAAGGATCTCCTCCCCTCTTCCGGTTGCAGAGAGGGAAGAGATTCATTTTTGCTCCCTTTGATGCTGGAAAGGGGATCTCTTCATCCTCAACACACACTATAAACTCTTGAAGGGAGAGGACATTTTAAATCCTCCTTCAGCTTTCTGTGCGTGGGGAGGAGGAGGAAGAGTTGCCATATCACTGATCCATAGATTAGAAATAAATGAGCCTTTAATCTGAACTCCACTTCCTCTTCCTGAGTCCCAGTAAGAGAAGCACTGATCAGTTCAAAGTGCTAATTGAAAGTTGAGTACCACTGGACTAATGAAACAAGCAAGATGAGAGAACTCTCACTTTTCATTATGTTTGCTACAGATGTGGTTAGTAGTTGTAGTCAGAAGTATGAATCAAAATATCTGCGATTTTTCATAGATTTTAAAAATGTGGAGAAAGACAGGCATCATCTGCCAAATAGTGATTGTTACCTAGAATTGATTCTGGCTTTTGAGACAAAATCTTCAGTGCTGTTTAATCAACTGATTACATGCCATTATTTGTTCCCTCGGACCCAACTACTAAATTTAATTTTGTAAATCAGATTTTAAAACATTATGCCAAATATAGTTGAACAAAAGTACCACGACTCTCTCTTTTATTATCTCTCACTAGGTTCTCAGACACCACACTGGTGGGTGCAGTGTAAGAAAGAGCCTGTTGATAAGTCAAATGTGCTCTTATGCAGGTACCATTTCTCTTCAACCGGGGATAGGAATAAATAGTAAACATGCAGTAGAAACAAAACAGCTAATCACAAACATATAGAACCTGTTTTGGTAGCTTGCTAGTTAGGACTCAAACAAAATGTATCTATCTCTGAAGCAAACAAGTACAAAATAACTGTTCAGTCCATGAGGGTTTTTGTTTTGTTTAAACTACTATACATTATCAACTGCATGAGGAATCCCAGATGTCTATATGAAGAGAACTTGTATTGAGCACCAAATACTGGTGCAGTTTGTGTATTAGGCTTTTAGCATGGACAAAATAGGAACAAAAATAATCAAGTAATTTAAAATCCAACAGTGGATGAGAAATTGACAAATACTGTACAGTTTGTGAAAACTGTACAATTAATAAACTATAGCAGGACCTCTTTTTTATGGTGCAGCAAGTTCAAGAAAGACTGACCAAAAAACCCAAACATAATTGACAATGGGTCATATGCTATCATTAAGCAGAACCCCCGGTTAATCTCAAAAGGGAGTTTTGTATATAACTAGCATGATATGACCCAGTGTGATTTGGTAGATAGCTGCAACTGAATCAGAACAAACAACCAACCACCCTGTTTTACCCAATTGCACTACTGAGAACCTCAAGAGGAGAAATCTCAAGATCTTTATGAGCTCTTCACTGTATAAAAGTTTATTTTAAACAACACCCATTCTGATGACCTGAAACTGTTAAAAGCATTAAAACTTGAGTCAGATCGCCATTTTTTAAAACTATGATATTTCTAGTTGATTATGTACAATGACTTGTGATATCAACAATGACTTCTTTGATTAAATTTTGGAGTATCTGAGTTTCACTGAAAAAACTGTTTCTATTTAGTTATGGAGTTTTGACCTACTCAAATTGGTTGAAAGTCAGTATAATTATACCTCCATAGAAGGGAAAATTGTATTAAATTTAGAACACAGATTAAATGTTTGTACAGGTTCTATGTCACTGGGATACATTTTGACTTTAAGAAAACAATTAAAAAAAATCATGCTTTTGAGGTCCATAAGAATTTTTGGTACATAAAATAATAGTGTTTTTTTCTCTCTCTCATTAGATATATCAACACTTTGCTGTAAATTAAGAGTTATTTTTCACATCAAATGGTTCCATTAGGCACATTCAAGTAAAATAATAAAATACCCAAGTAACAATGACGAAAGCCAAACATGGCTTGATAAAATTCTACAGACACTTGTGTCCATTCTCTGGAATGGAATAAAATTGTCACTTCCCTCAGCCAGAGACTCAGGTGGTTTGATGTTAATAGCCACTTTCATCATGCAGAATAGTTTCTTTTCAAGAGTTCACTTATTCTACAGTCAGAAGACCCAGCATCAAAGAATCTGCATTTTAAAAGGAAGCAAAATTGCAAACCTAGGTAATTTTCTTTCTCAGTAGATATTTCAGTGAATGCTGGAGTATTCGAGATTAAATCGTGCCAGTTAATGTCCACCAGATGCATAATTATGGATCCAATCCATAATAATCAAGATCATACTTCCAATCATCACAAACAGGCCACTCACCAGGAAGAGTATAGCCTGGAAAGAGAAAATATAAAATTCATTTCAGACATTTTATTTTCTTCTTCAGCTACAAAATGTATACCTGACATAAACAGGTAAGTGCCTGTCCTGAGTTATTTAAGATTTAAATTGGTTAAAGAACACTAAGGAATGACTAATAAAAAAGAACAAAGATTACAGTAAATGACAATGAGATAACCTTTGATTTTCACATGCTCTGGTGCCTTTTTAAAATGGATTAATAAATTTATTTTTAATATAGCAGGCTACCTACTCAGCTGGTGTAAACTGGCATAGCTCTATTGATTTAAATGGAGCTATGCCTGGCTTCACAAGTTGGGAATCTGAACCCGAATGTCTAAGATCAGAAGCAGCAACATCGAGCAAAGGGCCCAAGTGATCAGGGGGAGGTCAGCTCTGAGAGTAACCGAGAGAAGTAGGTTTTGAAGAAATATTTGAGAGGGACCAGTGAGGCTGCCTAATATTATACAGCAGTTTCAGTACTGAATAGATATTTTGTTGAATACACTCCACTAAATATTTATCAGGCACTTTCCCTCTATTTATAGTATTTGTTATAAAATAGACAAAATGTGCCTCATTTCTATTCACACTACTTTAGTGTCAGTAATGGTGCAATAGCTGTATGTAATTAAAATAATTTTATTTCCACCACTATTTAATTTCCACTAACAATTTGCTATTTCAGGATGAAATCCTGGTTGTGGTCACCTCTGGAGTTGGCAGGGACAACTGGAGAGGTCACGTGGGGAAGTATGCAGAAATAATGTCCTGGTGGCTCTCTCTCCAGTTACAATTGCCTATGAAACTACTGCTTGTTAGAATAATAGACACTACTAGTTACTGCTAGTTCATCAATGAAGATCAGACATTCTGAAATCCTTAGATTATAAAGAAATAAACTAAAACCCTTGCTCTGAGCCAGTCAGTGATGAAAGCATGTTAATGAAAATACTCTTTTACACATACCCCAATCTTCTGCACTGATTTCAGAGGTTCTTTCTTCACTAGTTTGATATAGAAAGCAGAAGGAAGTATAAAGATCAGCATGGCAGCAGCAGAGGCACCTATATTACAAAAAAAAAACCAAAGTTTTCTGAACTAAGTACAGTATTTCATTAGACTTTTGAAGACATTGTTCTGATTTTGAAAAACAAATAAATAAACAAAACCCTGAACAAATATACAAAAACTTACCAATGAATCCAAATATATCTCGAATGGAAGGGACAAAGATTACGAGAACATTGGTAAATGCCAAAACAAAAACTGTAATTAAACTGTGACGTAACCAACTGAACTCCTTCTCTGCACAAAACAGCTGTGTAATTGAAGTGCGGATCTGCAAAAAATAATGAGGACATTAGTATTAATCACAAAAGTCCTTAAAGAGACTGTCAACTTAATACAAAAATGACTGGGATTACTGTAACAGTAAGACATTAGAGAGAGAAAAGTTTCTCTGTTTTGCACTTGACTTTATGCATTTGACAGCTCTTTATGAGAACAGATTTTCCAGTTTTTTAATATAGGTGTTTATAAATAGGGGAGAAAAAAATAAAAAAAAACCTAGCTAAAAACCATTTAAAACAAACAAATTGGTAAGGGGACTAAGGAACAGGTGTAGTACCCAACACTCTTATCTCATTTTCTTTAAAATGACTTGAATATAGAAAAATTATATAGGGTAAAATATGTATTTATTATAAATGAATAAATTAATAAAAATAAAAGGTTTTGACCCCTCTATGTAAAAATGTTTTACTTTCTAAATTGATGCCTATCTATTTCAATTATTCTAATTCAGTTAAATGAGTAAAAATCATACATGCAGATTGTTATATAGAACAATTTTTTAAAAGTTAAAAAAATTACTAGAAATTAGCAAACTGCACTTGCCTAATTAATTTAATATTACTATTAGTCCACAGCCAGAGAGGAAGGAAAGGTACCCAATTACTGGCTAAGATGGATACACAGAATAAAAAAAGAATTACTTACTGGGAAGATAACTACAGGTACAGTAAGTGTTACAGCCATAAGTACAGCCAAACGCACAATAAGAATAATAACATCAGAACCCAGGACTGCAGAGTAAGTATGAAGCAATTCTGCTTCAACATTTCCTATAAAGAAAATGGCATATTAATTGAACTCTAATAAGACATAACAGAATGGTAATATCCCTGTGTACTTCTTAAGAAATAAAACAGAACAGTCCATCCAGTTCCTCCACAAATTTACAGTGAATTAAAAACTCAGTTGGTCTTGAGCACATTGTCCTGTGAGTTTGTGGATGAGAGAGAGAGAGAGAGAGAGACACAGGGCCTAGTGCCACTCATTTTACTTGTACATGTACTTCAGCTGGGCCAAATTCTGCTTTCTGCTATTCACTGACTTTGCATGACACAGGCATATAGGTTTTCACCTTATTATTAGACTATGGCAACATCATAGCAAATTCTTAGAGCCAAATTCTATTCTCAGTTATACAAATGTAGACTCCTTAAAGACAATGAAGCTACAGAGCAGAACTTAGTTCTTTGGTTTTATAGATGAAAACCAATAAAGGAACAGGAGTAGAAAAGGAAAAATACAATAGTGTGCAGTTATGAGAGGTTTGTGAAGAATATTACAGGGGCTAGTGAGAAAAAACAAGCTCATTTCCCTTCTTAAACACATTAAGGCTCAGAATCATAATAAACTCACTTCTATAGTTGTCCTTACATAGTAACTTCAATGTTGGACTCAAAGTACTTTACAAATATAAATGAATTTTATAAGCTTTACAGTCCCTGGAAGTAGTATATCCATTTTACTGATAGATAAACTTAGGCACAGACAGGTCAAGGATAACAGAAAGTCTGTGTCAAATAGTACCAAAATAGCCTGACTTCCAGTCCTGAACTTTAGCCATAAGACCACTGGTTCCCTTTAAGTGTGAATGTATAAAAATAATTTATTAGTTAATGCTAATTTGCTTTACATTTTAAAAACCACAAGATTTATTTTGAATTTCTGGAGACATGCTTCATTTAAAAGAAAATAGAAGAGGCAATAACTACCATAAAATGTCAGGTATCCAAAGAGAGCAGCCAATAGGTACATTACAAACATGGCAAAAAACGAAATATTGGACACATTCATCATTCTTCTACGGGTTCGGCTATTAAAGAAACAAACAGAAATAAGTGTTAGTGACAATATATTGCTTGTTTCTTTTTGAATAGTAAAGTTATATACAATCTATACATTTACCCTTTCAGTTCTTCATAAATAGGAAGAATAGCAGGATGGCAGACAAAAGAGAATGTTAGGATTGGTACGGCATAGACAGTCTGAAAAACATAAAACATGCTTTATAAACTTCTTGATAGATGTATCAAATTTATATTTGTTGCACAGAATTCATCAGTAGGTTTCTACTTTATATTTTTACTTTCCATTGAAAGTATAATTTGTCTCAATTTTCCATTAAAAAAAGTCAACTATTCTGTAAGGTTATTACAACTCTCTCTCTCTCTCTTTTGTTCTTAAGGGCCCAATACTTAGAATCCTCAAGCCCCACTTAAGCCCATGGTAGCTGAATGCACTCTGCATCTCCCAAGAGGTGTTCAGTGCCTTGCTGGATTTAATCTTTATGGCCTGATCTTGAAAATCTTTACTCACATGAGTATTCCTTTCTCATGAGATTTTCCATCACTAGGGGTATTTGTGTGAGTAAAGGTTTGCAGGATTGGGCCTTTAGGGGCTGATCCAAAGCCCACTGAAGTCAATGGAGACTTTTCAATCATAGTAGTTACAACAGTGCAAAATCCATTTACTGGTGAGGTTTGCACCAGTGCAACTTAATCTGGTAAATTATTTGTTTTGCTGAATAAACATGTGAGTAATCCCATCTGTAAAGTTAAACATGTGCTTAAGTGCTGACTGCCTCCCAGGAGAAGCTGGAAACCCTCATCTCGTCTTGAGCTCAATAAAAGTTAAGGAAGCCCCATTTTGCAGGAGGTGCACAATGCCTTTCAGGATTGGGACATAAATAATTAATGGCCGCCAAAATATTAGGTTTGGCAACTATGTAAGCAAAAATGACCATATTTCTACGTAATGTTTGTTCTCCCTCTATTTTTAATAGTGAGAATGCCATTTACATATGCTACCTTACCTGTGAGTTGAAGACGAAATATTTTGGCCTGCACATGTCATCACTAGTCATGTTTTGTGCTGTTCCATGCAAAGGTGCAGCAGTTGCCAGGTGTGCCAATGTGCCATTCAGAGTTGTGTTCATCATGTCATACTCCGATTCCAAAGGACAAGGGATTTGGAACGTCTTGCAAATTACCTAAAAATACCACCATACCACATTGTTATTTTTAACTGATACAATATGATAAAGCTCTTCGAAATCATATGAAATATCATTTGAAATGCACTATTACAAGCACTGTAAATCTACAGAGAAATTATACTTACAACAATAAGGAAGAAGACCATACACATTAAGGAAAGGCCACTTGTATATCCTAAATATCCTGTCATCAAGAAAGAGAAACAACATTTTAATTACAGCCTTGCTTCTCACCCCCACTTATTTGCTAAAAATTACAAAATTTATTAATTTACAAGTGTCTCATCACTTGTTTTCACTGCAGTGTTAGCTCAAGCTATAAACTCAAGTTTTGCCCCTCCTTCCACACCCAAAAATTTTTAGCTCAAATTACGTGGTTTTAAACTTTAAATTTAAACTTGAGCTAGCTGGCCTATTAAGAGGGAGCTGCTGTCACTGGAGTTAGTAATGCAGTTGGAGGATGCAGCAGTTCATCAGCAACTGCTAATCCAGTGACTGTGCTGCTAATCAAAATCACGCGGTTGTTGTGTCTCTACGTGGTCACTCTTAGGCTATGCCTACACTACTCTGGCACAGTCCCAGTGTTGGCACTACAGCGCACAGCTGCATAGTGTAGACCAGTGGTTTGCAAACTTTTGTACTAGTGACCTCTTTCACACAGCAAGCCTCTTAGTGCAACCCCTCTTATAAATTAAAAACATTTAACACCATTATAAATGCTGGAGGCAAAGCGAGGTTTGAGGTGGAGGCTGACAGCTCACAACTCCATGTAATAACCTTGCAACCCCCTAAGGGGTTTGTCCATTGATGTAATTAATCCATCTCTCCAGGAGGTGGTAACTAGGTTAATGGAAGAATTCTTCTGTCAACCTAGCTGCATCTACATTAGGGTTAGGTTGATCTAACTATGGTGCTCAGGGCGCAAAATTTTTCACAGCCCTGAGCAACATGGCTAGGTCAATCTAATTTTTACGTGTAGACTAGGCCTCACTCAAGTAAGTGGAGTAATTCAAGTGTGCTAGCTGGTGCAGTGAAGACAAGCCCTCACATTATGGCTCTATAAGGGTATGATTTCTGAAGTACATGAATGTGCTGTGCATTAATTGGTCTGTGTACACCCTGCCGGTGTGCACCAGAAGGATGCATATGGCCCAATTAATGCAGAGCACATTAGTACTCATTAAAAAAAAATCACACCCTATAAAGCACATTAGCCCACTGTGTAGACAAGCCCGTGGGGGGGGGGGGGGGGAAGGAAATCTCCTATAGGTTTATTCACTCAAAGAATCACAAAATCAAAACAACCCACCCTCTTCCATTTTCTAAAAAAAC